TAACCAAGAAAACACATTTTAAGACATTTGCCTGAACATTTTTAACAATCAGAGAACATTAAAGCAATAAGCCCCAAGAAGTCGTGGTTTACAGTGAATTTATAACAGCTAAGGGGTGTGCCTAAAACCCCCTCAGCTGTTAAAAATTCACTGTAAACCACGGCTTCACGGGGCTTATTGCTTTTATAAAACGGTTATTCCATATACGTAGTAATGTTTCACAAAATAAAACAGAGCAAATAAAGTGTAATGATAATAAAAACAGTATTCTTCCACCAAACAATGTAGCTCCTCAGAAACAATTGTGGTTGATACAAAGTGGTTGCCAAGCAACAGACAAACGTAAACAAAGGTGTATGTTACTTTGTAGAGTCATTTACAACAGCTTCGAACGTGGCTCAGCCAATCAGAATCAAGGACCGGAACTCTCCGTTTTATAAGCAGAAATAATGTTTTCGTAACTTAATGGGAACGTTAATGAAACGTTCTTAAAACATAATTTGTTAGCTGGGAGAAAGATCAATGCATCGGAACGTTTTAGAATGCAGAAATGTGTTGCAGAATGTTTTAATGTTTCACAAATAAAAGACACGGACGAATGTATTGTACACAGCAGTCGACACTTTTTGGCACAAATGGACCTCCATACACTGAGTGAATCTGTGGATGTCAGACTGCTCCAAGACAACACAAGTGTCTCTCATGATAGTGAAACTAATTTTAGCCTGGTGTTAAAGGGTAGAGAGGGAGGAACACAGGGAAAGAGCGGCGTGTGATCATCATAGGTGCCCTTTAGGTCCGAACCCAAACTCACTCTCACATTTCCCTCTTTAATTCAACCCTGACCTTTCATTCAGGTCCGGAGCTCGACGAGGGACGGTCTGAGTGTTTCCAAACCTCTGCTGAGAGGAAAAGATGTCCATGAAGATGTAGGGCTTGTCCTGAACGACGTCAGGCATCAGTGAGGCAACACATCATTTAGGACGGAGCCGCAGATACTAGTGCAAAATATCAATCAGATTGACAGCATCTGTAACAAAACACTGGGAATTTATGTAAAAAATATTTTTAAATGATTTACACAGAAACTTGTCTTGTGTTTCATTATCCCTGATCCCTTCTCTGACTCAAGATCTAGAACATATGCATTCAACAATATCACATTCATACTGCATTCATATTTTGTGCAGAGATATCATACAGCACATTTGCATACACAATTTTATTTTAATATATGCTCAATATATGTTGTAAACATAAAGCTCAATAAAATATATTCTTTAAATTGGATTTAATAATGGCTAATTTTTATATATTGTAATAAATTAATATATACGCATAAATATATGTTTATATATTATATATATATATATATATATATATATATATATTTCCATGAGGTGTTTTGTTTGTTTTTTGTTTTTTGACAGCACAAAAAGGCATGTGACATGATGACCTCTTGAGCTCCAGATTACAGGTCATCACAATCAAACAGACCTTTTGTTAAGGGACACTATTTTGCAGCATGCAGTGATATACTAATTTGCTCATTTTCAGTATGCATCGAATACCCAGGCCACCTAATACAGAATACTGACTACAATTTTGAAGTGTATAGTAGAAAAACCTGACATTTATAGTTACAAACTGCATACTATTTAACATTATTCAAATAACAGGCACTTATAGTATACACTCTTCAGTATGCATTAAGCAGTATGCTAGCATTCCAGTCCAAACACATCTAGAGTCAGTGATTCTTAACTTCAAAATACTAAGATTGATCTGCTGGAATGTCAAACACTGGCACTGCACTGCATTAGCTGCTTTATTTAACGCTTTAAACCTGGTGTGTGTGTGTGTCCTCTGGTTCCATCCTGTTTATAAAGCCAGTCAAGTGACTAGTTATGATGGCATTTACATTTGATTACTTTGTTGCAATATAAAACATCAGAGATGTGGGCGTGTCCTGAAACGCTGTACATGTTTGGAGTTTGTAGACGCTCCCTAAGGCTCTTCCCATATACGGGGACGTCGTTTAGGGACCGTCTATAAATTGCGCCGCTGAGGTCGGAACGCGCACTCACGCCCCGTCAAACGCCGAGATCGACGCCGACCCGACTCTCCCGCAGGTAATAACGCAAATCCGCACGCATTTGACTGCAACTGTGTGCTTTTCACGTTTGAGTGTTACTGGCACTTTCTTTGGCGGTGTTAAGCTCTGCTGGAGCGAGTTGAACTCTAGTGTGGAGCTGCTGCTTCCTGATTGGAGCGGCTGATCCGAGATCAGTTCTGCTGCCGGAACTCGCGAACGCTGCCGAACGCTTCCGAACGCGTCTTCTGATCCGGGATCTGCAGAACCTCCAGCGAGGGCTGTGGTGTTTAATATGGATGTGTGAATAAGTTTGCTGTTCGGAGGGATTGTGTGTTCTGTGGAGATTCCTGCTGAGCGCAGAGTTTGTGAAATCGGAACAGATTTAAGACACGACGCTCAAACGTTCTAAAAAATAAACTGAATGACCTTCACGCTTCCGGTGGAACCATCACTGAATATTCAGTGAAATATTCATCGCCGCGTTTGGTCAGAAACATTACGGTTAAACTTAAGTTTTATAGGGACCATAAGCAGCGTGTATGACATTTAACGCCGTATTTCTAACGTGGCTGTGTGTATATTTAATTCACTAAGTAGTTAGGCTATTATAAAAAGGTTAAAGGGCTAAAGTCCGCACGCGCGCTCAGAGTCCGTTATTATTGCGTCATAATGCGAGTTATTTAATAACTGATTGTTGCGGTTTGTGGGCAGCTCCGCGCGCGATAAGATGCTGTGCTGTGATTGGTGATTGATGTTAGGTGATTGACTGACTGTGTTCGTAGAAAAGCTGAAAATGTTACGAAATTGTGATGCAAGTCTGTAAAATGCAATTAGAATAAATGCCTAAAATGGTACCTAATGTTCAAAAATGGAAACTTGCTTTAGCAATCTCTAGAATATGAAAAATCTTTAAATCGGTTAAAAGGTTCTGAACCCTAAAGATCAACTTTGCATGTCTGTCAGTGATAGTTACATTTGCATTCTATATCTGGCAGAAAGCTGCAAAACGTGTTGTTTTTTTGTTTTTTAACTAATAATTTGCTTTTAAATTGAATTTACCTTACCCTCATGATGATCTGATGCAGATTATTAATGAACTAAATAGTATGAAATCGTGTGTGTGCGTGTTAGTGGAGTTCAGTGTCATTGCTCGCATGCAAAGGTCAGTTGAACACAAAGGTCAGGATTGAGCAAGTCTTGGTAAAGGTCATATAAAGTTGTCGAGGTATGACAGAGATTCCTCTCTCTCTCTCTCTCTCTCTCTCTCTGTCTCTCTGTCTCTCTCACACACACACACACACACACACACACACACATGAGGTCTTTTCTGTCTTCTGCTGTAGCCGCTCTATTAATAGAGAAACCTCAGACTGTATCTGTGTCAGACAGCTGAAGTGTGTACAGTATTTTATGGTTTGTGCAGATGTTTTTAATCCTAATAATCTTTTTGGTTATTCATGAACAATTATTTCCAAATCAAAACTGCTGACATTTTTTAGACATGCAGTCTGAACAAACACAAAAATCAGGACTTAATTCAGTGAGTCTAAGCAGTCACAATTGTTCAGTCGAAATTTGTAATCAAAAGTTACCGATCATAGGAAATGAATCGAAAAGACCTTAATGCAGAGCAGTTTTTATTTTTATTTTTTGTAAATGTGTTAAATTAAAACCTATTTATTTACCAGCCAAAATATTGAATGCAAAAGATTTGCTCACACAGTGAAATGAATGAGCGTCTATGGCGAAGCATTACTGCCAAAATTTCACTTAAAAAAAAAAAAAAAAACTAACTTTCATAAAAAAATATTTGGATAATGTCTAAATATTCAAATGTATATTTTCTAAACATAAAATCTACAATTCTTGCTTCGTCCATGTACTTTCTATTATGGTCATAACATGATTTTGACCTGGTATGCAATTTCTTTTCTTTTTTTTTTCTTTTTTTCCTTCAGATGACCGCAATCTGGCTCAAATACATGATAATTGTTCATATTTTCTTTGCAAATCACTCTGACTGTCTATCAGCCCTAGTGACAGCACAACTGTTTTTATTCTTTAAACTCCAAAATTAAACTTTTTGTACCATATTTTGTCGAGCCATCATTCAGAGTTTATCTTGAGGAAATGTTCCTTCTCTAGTTTGTAACTGATTGATTTTGTTTCCAGGTCGTTTCCGGGCGGCTGTTCCCAGCGGCGCTTCCACTGGAGTTCATGAGGCTCTGGAGCTCCGAGACGGAGACAAGACACGCTACCTGGGCAAAGGTACATCTACCTATAACACTCACTCACACGCACGCACGCACGCACGCGCGCGCAGTCAAATCATCTATATATATATATATATATGTATATGTGTGTATATATATGTATGTGTGTGTGTGTGTTTAAGGTACCCAGAAGGCCGTGGACCATGTGAACAAAGAGATCGCTCCCAAACTGATTGAGAAGGTGAGATCATGTACAGATCATAAAGTGACTTATGTATTAGGATTATTTATATAATAATGATAGTAGTAATAATAATAATAATAATAATAATATCAAAAACAAGTTATTATAGTAGTAGTATTAGTGTTGTTGTTTATTATTATTATTACTATCATTAAACAAAAAATTATTGCTGAATTACCCAATATCGCAGATGTAGTATGTTTATCATAATTATAATTTTTGCATCACATTTTTCTCATAGATAACTGTCAATATCAAAATGCTTGCCTACTAAATACTTGCAACCTAATAAGCTTTTTAACTGAATTGTTATTTAATAATTTAATTTGTCTTTAACATATGCAAGATTTTATCATTAATTAAACTACTCTCTGCTCACCCGCGGCTCCTCTTCCTCCTCCTCTCACCCGCCGCTGCTCCTCCTCTCACTCTCATCTCCTCTCACCCGATGCTCCTCTCACCGGCTCCTCCTCCTCTCACCTCCACTCATGTCTCGTCTCTCTCTCATGCAGGCCTTCAACGTCATCAACGGTGGCTCTCACGCTGGGAACAAGCTGGCCATGCAGGAGTTCATGATACTGCCAGTCGGAGCCAAGAACTTCCACGAGGCCATGAGGATTGGCGCCGAGGTCTACCACAACCTCAAGAACGTCATCAAGGCCAAATACGGCAAAGACGCCACTAATGTGGGAGACGAGGGCGGGTTTGCACCCAACATCCTCGAGAACAATGAGGGTACCCACACTTGATCTATAGCTTAGTAAAAAACGGGAATGAAGAGTCTTCTATTTGAGTTAAAAACCTTAAAACTGAAATGATAAATGCAGCTCTTAAAAGTCTTAATTCATCTTTGCTCAGATCAAGGCCTTCAAAATGTCTTAAACCGAAGAAGAAAGCCTTAAATTCATAGTCATGACAATGAATGTTGCATGCACTGCCCAAAACATGGTTGTCAAAGTTTACTAAAACTGAGACTAAATGTAAAAAAAAAAATCATTACTTGAAATAAAATAAACGTTAACTGAAAAATAAAATATAATAAACCCTCTGTTTCAGCTCTCTGCCAAGGCAGCATTTCTCATTTTCATTTAATTTAGTTCAATGTACTAAAATAATTAAAACTGAAAAAAAAATAAAATAAATAGTAATCACACTATTAACGTGTTAGTTTTGACAGCCCTAAAAAATAATTTTATGCTACAGATAAATGAAATAAAATGTAATAAACTATACAAGACATTTATTATTATTATTATTATTATTATTATTATTATATTTATTTAAAAAAACTACTTAAAATGACAAACACAAAACGAAATAAAACTTTAGCATTAAAATTAAAACTAAAAATATAAAACCTCTGTCTGCTGACGACTGATTGTCTGTGGTTCTGTAGCTCTGGAGCTGCTAAAATCTGCCATCGAGAAGGCCGGCTATCCTGACAAGATCATCATCGGCATGGACGTCGCTGCGTCCGAGTTCTTCAGGAGTGGCAAATACGACCTGGACTTCAAATCACCCGACGACCCCAAGCGCCACATCACTGGAGACCAGCTGGGAGACCTGTACAAGAGCTTCATCAAGAACTACCCCGGTACATGCACGCGCACACACACACACACACACACACACACACACACGGTCTGTGCAGGATCAGACCCGTTCATGTGCGTCTCCTCTGGTTCTGATCTCAGTCCAGTCCATCGAGGATCCGTTCGATCAGGACGACTGGGAGAACTGGACTAAGTTCACGGGGTCAGTGGACATCCAGGTGGTGGGAGACGATCTGACCGTCACCAACCCCAAACGCATCCAGCAGGCGTGTGAGAAGAAGGCCTGCAACTGCCTGCTGCTGAAGGTCAACCAGATCGGCTCTGTCACCGAGTCCATCCAGGCGTGAGCATTCCACCAATTCTGTTATTTGCCATTTTCATTTTATGGTTTCTTTTATGTTTGTTGTTGTTTTTGTTTTTTTTCAGGATTCTGTTTATTATGGTTAAATTACATCTTATTAATCAAAGTATGTCTATTTGATTTGAAATCAAGAAACTTTTGAAACCTTTAATAAAATTTGTTACATTTTTTTTTTAAGTTTTTTTTTTTTTTTTTTTTTTTTTTTTAGAGACTATGATTTTTTTTTTTTTTTTTTTTTTTTTTTTATATTTTTGCTCTTCAAGAATGCATCAATTTAATAAAAATGACATTTTTCACTTTTTTTTTCTTCCCCCTAATTTAATTGTTATATTCATTTTTTTTCTGTTTTAATGTTTATGGGTTCCATTTTCATGGTTCCATTTAAATTTTAGTAATCAAAAAGCATGTCCAATTAATTGAAATCATGTACCTTGTACAATTTAACAAATTGTGTAAAAAAAAAAAAAAAAATTTTTTTTTTTTTTAAATTAAAGGCTCTAAGAAATACAATATACTTTTCACAAATGCAGTTTTTTTTTTTCTGTTTTAATTTTTCTAAATTCTATTTTAATGGTTAAATTTTAGTAATCAAAAAAGCATGTTCAATCAATTGAAATCATGAAATTCTTACAATTTAACAAGTTAAGTGAAAAACATTTTTAGACATGAAATTCTGTTTTGTTTTTTCTGGGTTCTATTTTAATGGTTTAATTCAGTTTAAATAAGTCTAATCGGTTGAATTCACAAAACCCCTTTTGTTTTTTTTTGTTTTTTTTACAATAATAGGACACTATGAAATATTTTTTCAAAAAGATGTCCGATTTCACTCGCCTACATTTTGATTTAATTAAACATTAAAACATTTAAAATGTACTCAAAGGAAAATTTAACAATTCATTTTTAATTCCTGGCAAACAAAGTGCTTCAAATTAAAACATTGACTCTCTCGCTCTCTCTAGTTGTAAGCTGGCTCAGTCTAATGGCTGGGGTGTGATGGTCAGCCATCGCTCCGGTGAGACGGAGGACACCTTCATCGCTGACCTGGTGGTCGGTCTCTGCACAGGACAGGTACCCATCATGCTGTATTTGTGCTCAGAATGAATGCACTTTCAATGCAGTTCAATGAGAATAAGTCGCACTAACCCGAGTTCTGATGTGATCAGATCAAGACCGGCGCCCCCTGCAGATCAGAGCGCTTGGCAAAGTACAACCAGCTGATGAGGTCAGCAGTGACATCATACCCTCCTTAAATCAGCCGTCCAATCATAGTGTGCCAAACCCTCACCTGTGTGTGTGTGTGTGTGTGTGTGTGTTCTGCAGGATTGAGGAGGAGCTCGGAGACAAGGCCAAGTTCGCAGGCAAAGACTTCCGCCACCCCAAACTCTGAAGCAGCACCGCAGCTCCTCTGATCTGCTTTTTTGACATAAGAAAAAAATAAAACAATGGAAAGAAATTACATGTCTGTGCCTTTATTCACGTGTTGTGACCAATCAGAGCACGCTCAGCTGAGTTCCTTCATGATGTACAGTAAAATCACTCAAACACTGCACTGTGTGCCATTAGTTCTTCCTGTAAATCATTGATTCCTAAACCTTTTTGAGATTAAGGTAATCTTTTGATCATTTATCAACACATTTGCATGTTCACGGTACTTTAATGTTGGTTAATGGACACATGACATGCAACCTAACAAATAAATGCCAGGATTATTACAGTTAAGTGAAACTTAAACAAAAATAAGTTGTTACTTAAAATAAACATGAACTGATATTAAATAAAATACATTAAAAAGTAAACTTTATTTCAGCTAGTTGGCAAGCCAGCATTTCTTTTCATTTTGTTAAACTTTATGTACTACAATAGCAAAAAAAAATTAGACCTGTTAGACAAAGATTAAAACAATTACATTTAAAATACAATATGTAAAAGAACCAAATTAGCCAGAGATCAGTTATCAGGATTAGAAGATCAGGGGCTGTATGTATAAAGCCGCTCAAAGTAAAAGTTTAGTCTTAAGTGTGTCACAATTCTAAGATTGACGTAATTTTACTCTTATTCCTAGACTTAAGAATAAGAGTGATTAAAATAATAATAATAAAAAAAATAAATAAATAAGAGTGATTCATAAAGGTTCCTAAGTGTTAAAAGAGGTCTCGGCTCCTAAATTATTTAAGAGAGCTGGAGAGGTCTCCTAACCTAGTTAGGAGTAATAAGATGGCAGCAAAGAGGAGACAAACACTTTCCACCAGCGAAAATATATTGGACTTATATGATAATATGGAGTTGATAAAACGATACAAACTTAATTGTAAAGATCAAAAAGTATTTTTTGATAAAAACTTTAACTGATAAAGTAAAAAATGTAATCCTCTTCCATTCAACAAGCCAATGCTCTAACAGCAGAAATGAAAGTAGTAATTAATTTTTTTTGGCTGTAAAATTGGAAAAATGCAGCAATGCACCGGTGATGACACAGTAAGCAGGTTCTTACATATTGTGGCACTAACCCCACCAAACACAACAGTGTTTTGAATTTTTTTTTTTATGACCCCACATTTCACTTAAACCGTTAAAGGACAAAAAAACACTGACCAGTGCTGCCAACTGCTTTCAATTGAAAGAAGCTAAAACTGGCCACTTAATGTTGCTAGATGACCTCATAAAGGTGAGTTCACTGATCTATAGAAAAATGCAGCAATGCACCGGTGATGACACAGTAAATAGGTTCTTACATATCGTGGCACTAACCCCACCAAACACAACAGTGGCCAAAAGTGATGTTATACAGCCCAGGGCCCGTATGCATAAAACTTCTCAGAAATGCTCTTAAGAATAGTCTTAAGCTTTGACTTAAGTGTCAAAAAATTCTTAGTAAAAAGTAGGACTTTTCTAAGAGTAGGAGACTTTTATAAAGAAGCTAAAAGCAGCTTTCAGTAAAGTCTAATACTGATTCTTAACTAGGTTAGGAGACATCTCCAGCTCTCTTACATAATTTAGGAGCTGAGACCTCTTTTAACACTTAGGAACCTTTATGAATCACTCTTATTCTTAAGTCTAGGAATAAGAGTAAAATTACGTCATTCTTAGAATTTTGACACACTTAAGACTAAACTTTTACTTTGAGCGGCTTTATACATACGGCCCCTGGAATCTTTCAAATCATCTCAGATGTAATAAGCGACGTACGAAGAATGGGCCCCAGGACTATTACAAATCTTACTGTGAACGTGTGTATGTTTTGAGCTGGTGATGTTTAATCAGACGGTCATCTTCTCTCCGGTGATTTATGCAGGATATTAAGCTCCGCCCCTGCAGCTCACGCTCATCTGCATACACTTTGAGGAGCCACGCCCACATCTCAACATCCAATCAACAACTGATGCACAAAACCAAACTTCGCCTACTTTGTTTTATTAAACTGTTAAACTCACATCACAATACAGAAGACAAGGGCTGGTGCTATTTCAGTTTTATTGTGACTTTAATATTTACAGTGAAACACTGATCTTCAAATAATAACAGTGATGATAACTGTAAATAACTTTTTAAACTCCCTTATTAATGATCACACACACACACTCACACTCACTCTCACTCACACACACGAACACACTCACACTCACTCTCACACACACACACTCTCACTCTCACACTCACTCTCACACACAC